AATATATCACAACATTACACATTAAATAAAACAATTAAGTTAAAATACATTTAAAAACATTAACAACCAAGTAGCCAAATCCAATCCAATTTTCAAGCTTGCGCTATGCAGGTGTTTGCAGAGAAGCAGAGAGAGACAGTTTGGATTGTACTCTTGCTTCATGAGCTGCTGGAAGGAGTGGACACAAGACACTTAACAATCCAATGTATGTCCTTCACTCAAAAAAGTGGATTTTGTCATTTGGGAGTTGTAGTTGCTGGGATTTATAGTCCACCTACAATCAAAGAGCATTCTGAACCCCACCAACGATGGAATTGAACCAAACTTGGCACATAGTTCTCCCATGACCAACAGAAAATACTGGAAGGGTTTGGTGGGCAGTGTCCTTTGGTTTTGGAGTTGTAGTTCACCTACATCCAGAGATCACTGTGGACTCAAACAATGATGGATCTGGACCAAACTCTACACGAATACTCAATACGCCCAAATGTGAATACTGGTGGAGTTTGGGGAAAATAGAATCTTGACATTCAGGAGTTGTAGTTGTTGGGATTTATAGTTTACCTACAATCACAGAACATTCTGAACCCCAACGACGACAGAATTAGGCCAAACCTCCCACAGAGAACCTCCTCAATCACAGAATCCCCCTTTTTTTTCTTTCTCCTTTCCTGCAGGGGGTGTGAGCAATCCATTAGGGGGATTCCTTTCTCTTGTTTTTTTCCTGGAGAAAGGGGCCTCACTTCTAGCTCCTCTTGATCATTCTTGTTGTGCCGGTTCATGTTGGCCTGGCCATGCTTTCTCTATTCCATCCACTTTCTCTTCTTCCCTCTCTCCCGTCCTCCTTCCTTCTCCTATGACTCTCACCCAATGCCTTCTCACCAGCCAGTTATCACGAGGCACCACTGTAGCTACACAAAAGCAGCAAACAAATGAGACACAAGGCTAGAGACGAGTGAAATGGCAGGAAATGGTATGCATGTGTGTTCAGTCAACCCTCCACATTAGCAGTTTTGACTAGAGATTTGATTATTCATGGATTTGATTAAAATGTTATCTCTAAAAATCCCTAGGTCTTCCAATATGACTCTTATGGTTACCTCTCTAGGAATCTCAAGATCTTTCAGTGTAATTCTATGGTCAATTTCCATTGGAAGTCAATCATACAGCCATGCTGGGAGACCTAAACGACTCCGGCCCTGTTTACCTCTCCGAACATATTCTCCCCTACGAACCATCAAGACCACTAAGATCGTCTGGAGGGGCCCTGCTCTCAGTCCCACCGCCTGCACAAGCACGGCTGGTGGGGACGAGGGACAGGGCCTTCTCGATGGTGGCCCCTCGACTTTGGAACTCCCTGCCATTAGAGATCAGAACTGCCCCCTCCCTCATGACGTTCAGGAAACTAACAAAGACCTGGTTGTGGAACGCGACATTTGACAACTGATTTAATTCTTTGCCCACATGAAAGGAGGATGATGAATTGGATTGTGATGGTGTTGGACGATTTGGCTCTTTTAACTGTGATGATGTTTTAATGTGTATAGTGCTGATATTTTAATCGTGTAATGAAGTGGCATTGTGTTGTTATTGTATATTCTTTGTATGTTAACACATGTTGTGAACTGGTCCGAATCCCTCTTTGAAGGTGAGAGGGTCGGTATATAAAACCTCGAAATAAATAATAAATAAATAATAAATAAATTCCTAAAAAGGTGTCCTCTCTAGTTTAAAAAAATACAATTTCTTTATTCATGGTTTTTCACTTTCACAGTTAATGTGGAGGGTTGATTAATAATTACAGGTATTCCAAAATCTGAAAAATTCCAAATCACCTCTTAAAAAAGATTGTCCCAGGCACTAACAAGCCACACCAAACAACTGCCAGGCCATCAAATGCTAATCAAGGTGGTCAGTTGAAACATTCACACCTAGCTCCAACAGACAAGAGTTCTTTGTCCCACCCTGGTCATTCCACAGATGTATAAACCCAATTTTCCTAGTTCCAACAGATCTTACTACCTCTGAGGATGCTTGCCATGGATGCAGGTGAAACATCAGGAGAGAATGTTTCTAGAACATGACCAAACTTGGCTCAGAGAGCCCCCATGGCCAACTCAACAGTCTGGTGAGGTTTGGGGGAGAACGGACTATGGATGATTGGACTTGCAGTACCTTAAGCTCACTTTCTGAGACCACTGCGACCCTCATCCAATGACTAATCAAGACCAAAAAGTCCAAAGTGTAGAACATTTGTCCCCAATAATTTCGAATAAAGGATACTCAATCAGTATCTCTTCACAAAATACACAAACACAGGAAAGTTTTATTACACAGTGGCACATTGTGCACTTTTTATGTAAGAAAGGGATTTTTTTATTTAAAAAAATGAAAAAGTTACACAAGGTTATACCGAAAGTTACGACAAATAAAGGGCTTTTAAAACAACCCAGACCCAGCGAGCTGTTCATGATATGCAGGCAGGCGTAACAGTGCTTTTAGGATGCTTTGATATGCAGCTCATTACTAGAAAAGCTTCTCCTTCAATATAGAGGACCTTCTAGAGAAACTTTCTCTGTTGTGCAAACGTACTTCAGCTAGAAGAGGGGAAATTAATAACCCCTACAGAGGAAAAGTGCTTTTACATCATTGTTCTCTGGATACCAAGGAATGTCTCACAAGTAAAATCTACCCAAGTCTTTAAAAAAAACAAACAAACAAGAAACCCATCCCCTTTGAGGTAGTATTTCCCACTCAATTTGTGGTATACATTGGGATTGGGTGGGGGGGGAGGGGGAATCTTAACATTACTGAAAAAATGAAATGTTTTTAACACACTACACACTAGGGAGAAGAACCATCTCCAGCAGAAATCAATGGAAACACTTCCAATTGATTTAACAGAGTATTATTGAATAATAGCAAATTATTTTATTCCTCTTGATTGATCTATTTCTCTTTGAAATTGATAATTTGGTTTAAATTCAGTGCCAAAAGTATTTGTGTAAAAATCAAATATTTTAGACTTATATTACATCTACATCATTATACCTAATTTCTGTTATGGCTTCCATATTTTTATGTTTATTCACAGGTATGGCAGTGCAAGTCATTAAATATAAAAATAGACAAAAAAGTAACACTTCGAGAGTAAATTAGGAAACACAAATCTTTACTATTTGTACATTATATTAACTAGAACAAGGCTGGGAATTGACTATGAAATATTCACATAAATTTATAATAGGTTTAGGCCATAATGAGATGACCAAACACTGGAGAATAAACTTCGCTGAAATTAGATTTATATACATTTCCATATAAACAACCCTTTAGACTACAACCATTTGTGGTACTTCAACTTAGCATGTTATGCTTAGTTGAGCACAAAAGTATGAACTATTATGAATCTGGGTTGTTGTAGGTTTTTGCGGGGTATATGGCCATGTTCTAGAGGTATTCTCTCCTGACGTTTCCCCTGCATCCATGGCAAGCATCCTCAGAGGTAGTGAGGTCTGTTGGAACTAGGAAAATTGGGTTTATATATCTGTGGAATGACCAGAGTGGGACAAAGGACTCTTGTCTGTTGGAGCTAGGTGTGAATGTTTCAACTGACCACCTTGATTAGCATTTGATGGCCTGGCAGTTTTTTGGTGTGGCTTGTTAGTGCCTGGGGGATTTTTTTGTTGAGAGGTGATTAATTCCCTGATTGTTTCTCTCTGTTGTTTTGCTGTTGTAATTTTAGAGTTTTAAATACTGGTAGCCAGATTTTGTTCATTTTCATGGTTTCTCCTTTCTGTTGAAATTGTCCACATGCTTGTGGATTTCAATGGCTTCTCTGTGTAGTCTGACATGGTTGTTGTTAGAGTGGTCCAGAATTTCTGTGTTCTCAAATAATATTCTGTGTCCAGGTTAGTTCATCAGATGCTCTGCTATGGCTGAAGTAGTCTGCAGTGCCTTTCATGTTCCTTGATTCATGTTTGGGACACAGAGAAGCCATTGAAATGCATAAGCATGTGGACAATTTCAACAGAAAGGAGGAAACCATGAAAATGAACAAAATCTGGCTACCAGTAAAAAACTCTAAAACTTAAAATTACAACAGAGAGAAAACAATTAGGGACATCTAATCATCTCTCAACAAAAGATTGCCCCAGGCACTGCCAGGCCATTATATGCTAATCAAGGTGGTCAGTTGAAACATTCACACCTAGCTCCAACAGACAAGAGTTTTTTGTCCCACTCTGGTCATTCCACAGATATATAAACCCAATTTTCCTAATTCCAAAAGACCTCACTACCTCTGAGGATGCTTGCCATAGATGCAGGGGAAACGTCAGGAGAGAATGCCTCTAGAACATGGCCATATAGCCCGCAAAAACCTACAACAACCCAGTGATTCCGGCCATGAAAGCCTTGGACAATACATATTATGAATCTTATTAAATTTCCTCGAATGTTTAAACTGGGCTCACAAAATTGTGTTTACAGCCCTTTTTATTTAAAATATTAAATATATTTATGGAGGGGAGTTTTTCAGCCTCACCTATCATGAAATTTAAGCCCACATGGAATCAAAAAACCTCCTCCTAAATGTAGCTCAATTGTACAATCAACCATTTGAACACAACTCAGTTTCAGTTTCTTTTAAGAATTATCAGTAGTTATGCTAGATGGGAGTAATTTGAGAGCTTACATCCCCACAAAACTTTGTAGAAAATCCTATCTTTTATCAAAGTACAATAGAGATAGAAGAGTTATAAGAATGTTAAGACGACTGTGATCTTTTACATTTTCATTCTCCCAATTCAGATTAACTTGAAGGAAACAAGATATTCTTATAAAGTTAAATGAAGTTGTTTTCCTTGCATCCAAAACTATTTTAAAACACAAGACCTCATGGTCACAGTTAGTCATTTAAGGTACTGGAGAAAGAGGAAAGTGTGAAGGTCACACTGATCTATATGAAAGTGAGGTCTGGTTAAAAGGTTTCTTCTTGGTTGATTGCAGTTTTCAACCTCATATTTCTGTGGCCACTTCATTCACTTTGACGTTTTGATGTATTTTGTTCAGCATTTGGGACCACTAAATCATGGATCATGCCCTAAAATTGGAGTAGGAAGAGGAAAACAAGTATCAGGAAATGCAACTGCTTTAAATGAAATTGGTAGGCAAGGGCCAGTTTGCTAAACCTTTGAGTATAAACTCTTAAACTAATAATAATAATAAAACTTTATTTGTACCCCGCTACCATCTCCCCAAGGGACTCGGTCCGGCTTACATGAGGCCATGCCCACAATACATCAATAAACAAAACAACAATAAAACAATCAATACAATACAATCCATATAAATCACATAAACTAAAAACAGGCAATAAACAATCAGCAGTGACATACAAGAATTTAAAACCAATGGCCGGGCCAAATGTAATAGATTAAAATTAAAAAATAATGCTGACATGAACAAGGTAGGATATAACTGGGATAGGATTTTCAGAGAAAAATGAAAATGTCATTTATTTTCTTGAGATACAATTATTTTTGAGAAACCCAGTTTCCATTCTGCACTACTCTTGTCCCAGGAAATGTATATTGCCAGCCCACAAAGTGTTTTTTATTCTTGAACTGGTCGGGTGCTTTAGGTTGCGCATGAACCATCCCCTTTTCAGTTCCTTGTGTACTAGTGTACACACATACGCCACATCTACACAACATTCTTCTCAAAGCAAAAGTGCATTCTATCCATTGTTCCCCTTCACTCTGATAGTTTAACTTTATTTTATGACTGGTGTAAGACCCATCAAGTGAATGGTATATCAAATGAGCTACAGAGACTCCAATTATTAATAATAACAACAACAACAAGACTTTATTTATATTTCGCCTTATTTCCCAGAGCGGATTACAGTATATATATGAACACAAACAATCTATGCCTTGATACAATGAATCAGAAATTCACGGAGAAAGATAAAGGCAAAGGCTTCCCCTTTCATCCCCAGTTTCTGGAGATGATGCTCAACTCTGGCTCTAGCGGAAGCATTCATCTCTATTTTCAAGCCAAGGAGCCTGCTTTGTCTGTAGACACCTCCTGGTCGTGTGGCCGGCATGATTCCTTGGAGTGCCTGTTTACCGCTGAGGCGGTACCTATTGATCTACTCACTTTGCATGTTTTCGAACTGCTAGGTTGGCAGAAGCTGGGGCTAACAGCAGGAGCTCACCCCATCCCACAGATTCGAACTGCCAAACTTCAGGTCAACAAGTTCAGCGGCTCAATGGTTTAACCCGGTTGTGCCACTGTGGTCCACATTCTTTCTTTATTTCTATCTATCCCCAACTGGGTGATTTTTATTGCCTGATCCACAGAAACAACTTGAGTATTTATAACATGAATAAAGACAACCTTCAAAAAATGTGTGGCTTTGCCATTCATTGAAGAGCTGCAACATTATTACAAGTGCATACTGCAATATGAAAAGTGACTTGAGCTGCACAGTACCTGAATAAGCTGACAACTGTTTATCATTTGCTGCCATTTGCTGTATGTTCTTGCAACCACATCTTTAACCTATAAAGAAAATATCACAAACTGACTACCGACCTACTGTTCCCGTCCCCTTGGCTCAATGTTGGGATCACAATTTTTTTGGCAACAGTAAAAGGTTTCTGACCATCATTCATTTACACTAATCTGTTAGCAACAATGTGCAGTGTTTTCAGTGCACATTTCAGAAAATGCTTCAGCTGTACTCCAAGGAAAGGAAAATCAACCTGTTAGCAAGTCTTGCTGATACAAATTATCAATAAATGTTTAATCTTTATACCTATTTGAAATACCTATAAAAATTCTTGACCGGAAAAGGGTTGCATTTAGAACAAGTGTAAGAAGTCCTGTACTATAAGTATTAATGTACTTAATTAAGTATTGAATATATTTAATCCAAGTAAGGTAAAACGTTAATGCAGAAGCTGGCCAAAAAGTAACAACAAGCAGGACAACATATGTACAAATAAAGGAATGTGCAGCTAAGGATGTTGCAAGTCTTTGTAGACTTGGATTTAACCATCTTTCTGGATTCATTAGTGTAAATACATTTCAGTGAAAGCACATCAGTATTGTCTGTGCCCCTATTTGGAAGATTTCACCTCATTTTCCACCCCTGTGAAAACTGGATTTTGAAAATTTTGGGTTGTAATGGAAATAAGGCTGGTGATAAAGCTTTGGTGAAGCCACCATTTCCCTATGGTAACTCTTCAGGAGTGAATTTCCTTTCCTAGGGGTAATTTTCTCTCCATTCCTGTTGCCTCACCCGTTAGTAACTAGGAGTCGGACGTAAATTGGATGTTTGTAACATTGGGACTGCCTGTATATGCACATTTTTAAAACACAAAGGAAGTCTTGGGGTAATGCGGATAGTTTAGGAATGGGGAGGGGGGTACAAGATAACTCACCTTAGTTTTATAAAATAGCCTGGCATTTTCCCTAATATCACATTTTATGTTTTTTTCCAAGATACTACTGAGTTTCAACAGCCATTTCTAAAGGGAAGCAAAACAAATAAACATTTATTTATTTATTTATTTATTTATTTATTTATTTATTTATTTGCTGTATTTATATACCACTTTTCTCACCCCTGGGGAGGGGTGATTCAAAATAATTTCCAACATAAGCATGGCAAAATACAATGCTGAACATACATGTGAAAAACCAGAACAAAAAAAATCAAACAAAAACATGTAACTATAAATTTAAACTATTAAAACCATATACATTTACAACCATAAAACATAGGCAACATTTAGACATTAAAACAGAATTAAAACATATTAATATAGAATTAAAATCACATAATCTAGTATCATTATCCAATGCCATTCCAACTGTTAATTGCACATATTCTCTATTCATTTAACTCCTGTTTCTAGGTTATTTCCACCAAGACCAAAATTATAAATACTAAGCACATTTTGATGAAAAATTCCACTGAAGAATGCTCTCTGGAATCACATTTTGATTCTATATAATTACCTGATAAATTCCTAAACTCAAAACCCATAACAACACTTCTGGTCACTTCTAGGGGTAATTTAAAAATCTGCTACCCTGTTCTTTAAATGAGACCTATATATACATCCAAAACTGAATGACCACCTCCATGTCACATTTCACAGTACAGATATATTAATGCTGTCAAGTAATTTGAGACGGTTACGTACTTTCTGGCTGAGATTTGTGCTCTCAAAATTGCTAGCTTCTCTGACTAAGTGAAGAAGAACATAAAGCAGATAATATGCCTAGAAAAGAAACATAAATTTTATTTATTTATTATTTAAATAAACACGCACAAGAAAGAACAAGGACTGAAAACAATTATAAGTATTTATTTATTTATAGTATTTATATCCCATATTTTTTTCTTTCTCAAGGAGACTCATAGCAGCTAAAAAAATTAAAACTGCACAATGTATAAATTAAAACCTAAAGTATAGAAATATTAAAATGGAATTAAATATAGGACATATTAAAAATACATAGTTAAAACCAACAAAACATTTTAACTGCTCAACTAAAAAAAAACACTATCACCTGCTTTGATCTTTAAAACTTTCCTCTCCAAAAGTAACTCAATTCCTTCATCTTACCTTGCCCTTGCTGCCTTCCCTTATCTAATTCATAATTACATTGCCTCAGAATATCTGATATAAAATAATGTCTTGTGCAAGGAAAAAACTAAGAAGCCCCTCATCCCCACACAAGCCCTAGGACCTTGCTTTTTCAAATATAGCATGTGACATTACCTTGGATTCAAATTTAGAAATAAAAGATGCATTACTAAGTTCAGCATTATCATCAGTCGATGTTTCCAAGAGCTTCTTTACCAAAGTTGAAGGTTTCATCATGACCAGCTCCTTGCATAGAAGTGACATCTATTTAAATTCCAAGAAGGAAAAAATAGATTAGGGAGGACTTACTGATTTCTGGCAAAATTAAAAATTATTTTAACTGTTTTCAGAGATAAACACCCATCATAAATCATGCAGCATGTGAAACATCAGTCTGGCAATCATCAGGATCCTGAGAAGTTTCAGGTCCTAAATTAATTGAATTTTAAATTGCATGTTACACATGTATCTTCTACACATGGTTTTGTCAGGTCATTTATTGCAGGTATAATGGAATAAAACAGTTGTCAAAATCAACTGTAATAACATGCAGATTCAAATTATTTTGATTAATAAAACTCCAAAGAGGATGGGTGAATACTGTTCAGAGATTATTTTATAACTTAACGCCAGACAACCTTACAGTACTTCATGCATTTACTTGTTGCAGAGACAAAAAACAGGAAGAGCAAAATTGCCAAGCAAGGGTCATCCTTAGAACTGGTTAATTTCTGGCATTTTTGCCAACTCTCCCTTTTGCATCTAACTTCCAAAATGGTGAAAAGGTAAATGAGTAAATCAGTGAAGAAAAACAAGTGCTATGTTTTAATAAAGGAGTTTCATACTGTACCTGCTGGTCATGACTACTGGGTATGTTCACATGGTTTTCAAGAAGCTTTGAGAGCACCACCAAGCTAAGATGTCTTCTTACTTCTCTGGAAAAATTAAGTTTAAAGTCAGGATTATATATATTCCCCCTTCTGCATTTCGTCTGAAGTAATTTGCATAATTATTTGCATTGCAGTAATAGCTTACTTTCCTCGTTCCGTCCAGTTGGGGACAAACTGGATTAAATGCAAAAGATTGTGATGGTGGCTGGAGAGGCAACTTATTGCCAAGCATAACTCAGGCATCTTTACAGAAAGGAGACAATAGTTAGTGCAATTAGAGGCAGTTATTAAAACCAGTTTCAATATGTTTGCACATATAAAAAATAAGGCATCGCAGAGTCTTCCTTTATGCTAAATGATATTCAAATTTATGGAAATTTCAAAGGAAAAGAACAACACTTTTATCACATACATGATTAATATTGAGACAAAAATTTAGTAATCATTTATCACAGGCTGGATCTACACTTTCATATAATGCAGTTTCAGAATACAGATTAAGGAAAACAATACAACTTTGTTGGGTCAGGAATTTTGGATGTGACATTTGTTTACTGGTTGGTTGACTCATGAATTTATGGCAAAGGAAATGATACTTGTTCAGGCCTTGGTCGTGGGGTTATGTGTCTGTAAAATGTTCATTGTTTTGTGTGCTGTTTACACTATAAGTGGTTAATATATATAAATAAATATTATTTTTTAAAAACAGAATGCATATTAACTGCATTGAAAGGGATTATGAGTCTACAGGCCCTTCCACACAACCATATAACCTAGAATATCAAAGCAGATAATCCACAATACCTTCTTTGAACTGAGGCCCTTCCACACAGCCATTTATCCCAGGATATCAAGGCAGAAAGTCCTACAATATCTGTTTTGAATTGGGTTATCGGAGTCTACACTCAGATAATGTGGGATTTTCTGCCTTGATATCCTGGGATAAAGGGCTGTGTTGAAGGGTCCTGAGTTATCTGAGTCCACCCTATCATATAATTCAGTTCAATGTGGATTTTATACAGCTGTATGGAAAGGGCCTACACTGCCATTATATAGTTCAGTGTAGTTAACCTGTATTCTGAAACTGTATTATATGACAGTGTAGATCCAACCACAGTTGCCACTGCAGTTTAATGTAACTAATTCATCAGATTAAAACAACAACAGATTTTTAGTCAGAACATCTGATGTGTGCATGTATGTGCTTTCAAATTGCCTGTCCATTTACAATGACCCAATTACTTTCATAGGACTTTCTTTGGCAACTAATACAGATAAGTAACTATTGTCAAATTGTTTGGGTTAAAAATTATTTTTGGGTAATTTGCTAAAACTTCAGTTCTATAAAATACAACTACCAGGAGCACTGCTGGAGAAAAGGTAATATTGTAACAGTTAATAACACAAGTCCAACCTGCATATATCATTCTAAACAATTGCAAATGAAACTACCTTTGTATTCCACTTGTCTATGTTTTCCAGTAGTTTTATAATAAGGCACTGCAAATCTACTAGGACAAATTGCTTCATCTCTTTTTCTAAACTCAGTTTAAACAGCAACAGTAGCAAGATAAATATTTCTTTCTGCGTGTAACCATCTCTGCATATGCTTATGCATAATCGTAGAAACTAGAAAGGGAAAGAAATAAAATAAGAACATCACAACACTTTAATTCTAGCATCAGGTATATTGTATTTTGCAATTGCAGACAGTAATCATACCCTCAAATTTAAAGTAACACTGTTCATTTCTTCCATTCAAGAATGGGAATGTATTGCTCTTTAATACGGCATACCTGACTATTCATTGAATGCAATTAAAAATACAAACAGAATTTGGTCTCAGGCACCACCTACCTATTCAACTATTTGTACATGGCCCGCCAGAAAAAGCAGCCAGTGAAAACCAGAGCATTTCTGATTCACAGTACCATTAATATGCATAAAGACACAGAGTAAACATACATTTAGCATCATATCAGAAGACAATAAATGCCTTGGACAGGATAAGGCAAAATTTAAGCAATGCCAAAATCACAGAATAAGCCTTTCTACACTGAGAATTGTGAAGTATAAAAAGTATTGGGTCCGATTGTTCATCTTCTTTTAAATAACTGATATGTTGTTGTTAATAATTATAATTTTTATTATACAAAGCTTGGTTCTGCATCTTAAGTTACTGCACTAGAAAACGGTAATGTTCGGAAAGGATTTCTCAAATTAAGAGGGATGGCATTCTCACCCTAGCCATATTGCAAAGTTTGACATCTACTAGAAAAAAGAAAGGAACCGGATCTCCAAAAACATCTTCTTCTGATTGTTGAGTCACTGTTGCAGGCATTTCAGACCTACAGAAAAGGGGATATTTTCTCATTTACTTCATTATATTATAGCAAAAACTAGCGGTGTTCAAGATGGCTCCACAAAGATCACAACTGCAGGACATTTTGACACAAAAGCTATATCATAATGTTCTACATTCTGCATAAATAGGAGTATAGTGTCAAGATCCAGGGAAGAATCACCTTCAGTGATTCTGTTTAACATATCCCAATACCGATTTTTCCAATTGTGAATTTGTTTGTTAACTTTTTTTCCATAATTGACTGTAGTTTAATTGTATTACGTTGTTTAAATTTTGGGGGATGTATACTCCCAAATATTTTAACTTCTCACCTGGTTTTATCTCCAAGATGGATTGTATTCCTTTTAACTCTTTCCAAGTAGGATTTTTTTTTTGCAAGATTTCTGAATTTTGAATGTTTAGCAATAACCCTGATAGTTTTTCAAATTTCTTTATGTTAATTACTTCCTTTACAGAATCCTCTGGTGACCCAAGTAAAACCACAGAATTGTCAGCATATAAATTTACTTTAATTTCTTCCTTGCCAATTCTAAATTCATTAATTTTATTACAATCTTCTATGTATATAATAAAAGTCAGTGTTTGTATGTGGAGGGAGGACGGGAGGGAGGTGTATGTGGCAGCGTTCTGATTGGCTGCCACTGTGGTACAATTTGCATATGGTCTCTGATTGGCCAGCCTCAAAATTCCAAGATTCTGATGTGACAAAGAGAGGAAAGGAAAAGGCCTGAGGCTGTGCCAGAAAATTACCAATGCAGACCAAACTTGGTACACAGAGCCCGCAAGACCCACTCTACATCCTGGTGCTGTTTGGAGGAGTACGAACCATGGATGATGGGACTTGCAGTACCTTCACTCACTTCCTGAGACCACAGCAACATTAATCCAATTACCAATGAAGACCAAACTTGGCACACAAAGCCCCCATGACCCACTCCCCATCCTGGTACAGTTTGGAGGAGGATGGACCACAGATGATGGGACTCGCAGTACCTTCACTAACTTCCTGAGACCACTGCGAGCCATATAAATAACTGATAAAGACCAACCTTGATACACAATTCCTTTCTCAAATAACCTGGGCAGCGCCGGGTCCCCAAGCTAGTTTCTAATAAAATTAACTAGTGGTTATATTGCCAGTGCAGAGAATGGGGGAAAGGGGCAATCTTGTTTTGTCCCACTGCTGATCTTAATTATTAATAATAATTATTTTTATACTTCGCCTCCATTTCTCCGAGGGGACTCATGGCGGCTTATATGGGGACAGGCCTGGGCCAACATAGATTAAGAACACAACGCAATAAAATAAAAATTAAAAAATAAATAATTGTTATTTATTATTATTTACCCCACTTATATCCTGCCCTTCTCAACCGTGAAGGGGGCTGAGGGCAGCCTTACAAAGGAAACAATTTAATGCCACTTGTGCATTTATCATCAATAAATAAACTTTTTAAAACATTAAAAACCAACCAATTAAAAACATCACATTAAACAACAATTTAAAATCACATAATCCAATTGTTCTTGATACAGACCCATTTGAAAGTATTTCTACCTGGTTGTCTTTGTATAATTTCTTAATTATTTCACAAATTTTTCCACCCAAGTTACAGACTTCACAAACTTGGGACAAATACTTGTGGTTTGCCATGTTGTAAGCTTTATAAACATCCGATTTTATTATAAATCGTTTTTTTCCCCCTCATAGCATGATTTATTACATTAAGTATATTTCTTATTGGGTGTGCTAACCTTCTAATTTTTTAATAAAATCATGTTGGTTCTCCCCTACTGACTTTGGGATTATATCTTTAAGTCTATTAGCTTAAAAAATTGTGAAAATTTTATAATCTACATTGCATAATGTGATTGGTCTTTATGAACTGGGATTGGTCTCTTCTTTATTAAGTTTTAAAATTGTAATTATTTATTTCCCTGTCTCTGGCATGGTTCCATTCGTCATTATCTCATTGAATAAAATTGCTAGATTAGGAATGATTTCAGGTTGGAAAATTTGATAGAAATTAGAGATAAAGCCATCTGGACCAGGGGAATAATTTGGTTTGAGATTCTTGATAACTTCTTCAGTTTCATTAATGACACACTATTCTGTATGCGGGTCAAAATGTCATAATTTTCTTGGTGTCTTGTTTTTCAGGTCTGTTTCTGGGGTCATTTGACACACTGATTAAGAAAATTGCATTGTATAAATCATATCAGCTTTAGTTTCTTAGATCTGGTTGTCATGATTTTCTATGGGTCAGCAGATGGTGACTAGTAGATGGCATATGTACTGTATCTCAAAAACTAGAACTGATAGAGGAAAGCTGATGCCATTTTTGGAATCAGCAGGTTTAATGTGCCCAGAAACAGGGCTAACATTTGAAGCCTCCAAATGTGTGTTGCCCAGTGCAAATCTAGCAACACAAGAAAGTAACTGTTGTGTTAGATACTGACCTAATATGATCTTCTGTAAAGCTAGGCTGAAAATCATGGAGAGGAAATAGTGCGTTGAATGGTACACCCAAGTTGACCAGCACAACTGCTATATCGAATAGTGATGGAATCCATATCACTGGTTCCTCATTGCCAAGATGAGCTGCAGACAAAGGACAACTTTAAGCTTGAATTTTTAAGCAGACAAAGGACAATGTTTAAACATTAATTTAAAATTCATCCTTTATTTAATCTGTTTTTTTGTATTTAAATATATATTTTATAGAAATAATTTTAATTTGTATATTTTATAGAAATACACACACACACACACATATATATATGGATGGTATTTTTATAATGTTTATGTGTTTTAATTACCGTTTATACTCAAGTATAAGCTGACTCGAATATAAGCCGAGGCACCTAATTTTACCACAAAAAACTGGGAAAATGTATTGACTCATTATTAGCCAAGGGTGGGAAATGCAGCAGCTACTGGAAAATTTCAAAATAAAAATAGATACCAATAAAATTATATTAATTTAGGCATCAGTAGGTTCAATGTTTTTGAATATTTACATAAAACTGTAATTCAAGATAAGACTGTCCAACTCTGATTAAACCATTATTCTAACCTTCTTCAATGTAAATATGCTTACATGTCCTCCAATAATAATAAATAGAGTAAAATAATAATAATAGAGTAAAATAATAAACGTAATAAAAACAATACAGTAAAATAATAAATGTAGCAATAACAATAATAGAGTAAAATAATAAATGTAATAATAGCAACAACAATAAAATAATAAATGTAATAATAATAATAACAACAACAACAAAGTAAAATAATAAATAATATTGACTCAAGAATAAGCCGGGGAGACTTTTTCAGCCTAAAAAAAGGACTGATAAACTAGGCTTATACTTGAGTATATACAGTATTCTGTAATCCACTTCAAGTAATGAGGAGAGGTGGGTAAGAAATAAAATAATAATAATAATAATAATAATAATAATAATTTGACAGCTTTCTCAAAATCCTCAGAACAGAGGGAGTTCTGTTTGTAAGTTATTTTCTGAATATGGTAGCATTAATGCATAGCTGGATGTTAATCACATTGCAACATTTTAAGACCACCATATACTGCCAGTATAACACACTACTTTTGTACAGCGATTCCTTACACAATAAATAACTTTCCAGAAGCAAACAAACAGCCAATATAAGTAATCTTAGGTTAAGAAAAGTTTTATGTACATACCCATTAAAATATAGAAATATTATTGTTTTTTGGAGTACACTATTAATAGCCTCTTCATTATTTGTTTCATGTCTTCCAAGTTACCATTTTCCTTGCGCATCTTCAATGGCACATATATTTCCATTTTATCCCATAAATTAATGATTAAGCTTTTAAATCAATAATTATGCAGGAATTGGGAAGCACAGTGTGCTACATTATCTTAATTTAATTAGCTTCAGGGAGTCAAACTTATTTTCATCAAAGGAATACAGAGGGCCAACTATGATTTTCTACGTCAGTTGTCAGTGCTCTTCAATTTTTACACAGTTTGGGTCCCTAGGTAAACGTTGTCCCCTGACATTAAGTCCAATCATGTCTGACTCTGGGGTGTGTGGTGCTCATCTCAATTTCTAAGCCAAACAGCCGGCATTGTCCATAGACACCTCCAAGGTCATGTGGCCAGCATGACTGCATGAAGCGCCGTCCCTAGATGTCACTAAATAACAATCACTTTTGATTATTTGCCATGTGGACTGGGGATGATGGGAACTGCAACCCAACAGCATTTGTGGCTCTGAGGTTGGGGTAGATTTAAAGATCATTTAAAATCAGATATGTCCACAAGCCTTGCATCAAGTTGAAACCCCACTATTTTCACTAAACAGAACAAACAACAGCCTTCCAGATGTTAACTGTATGACAATTCCATTCAGCCCTAGTCATGATATCTAATAACGAGGAATACTGGAGTTGTAGTCCAGCATCTGAAGGGCCATCTAAAATGACATGGTGTACTGGATTCAGCCGACGAGCCTTAAGTCTAACAAGTGTGGTTTAGACTGTAGCATTTCATAACATTCATGCCAACTGTGGTATGGAACAAGTTTTAACTTTAATATTCAAACACAGGGATGTGAATAATGCAAATCTGTGCTTCTCCTAAGGCACTGTAAATTTTGGTGTGAATTTATGTAGGACTCCTAAGTCATGCAAAATAATTACGAATGGCAGCTTTGCTTCCCACACCTCTCCTACAAGACTAAAAGATCTGCCAAAAGCAAACGTGGTGTCACTTTGTTTTGGAAGTCCACCAGAGTGTAAGGGCTGAAAACTGCCCTCTAGCCACTACCCCTGACTTCTAGAATACTTACCATTTGAAATTGTTAAATCCATCAATTTTTGTAAGATCTTCCTTGAAACTGAGCAGTCTGAATGAACCAACATCATCTATTAAAAACAAAAGCATCAAACAAACTCAAGCATGTCTGCTAAATATCCAGGGGTCAGCTACAACAAATTACTGAAATGTAGCACCTGGCAAACCAGAGATCTGAATTAGTCCAGATATATTAAAAATAAAATAAAATTTTGGCAAATTCAAATAATGGGCCACTGCCACTCCAATTTGGATTCTTAAACTGCTCTAAGGATCATTCTGCAAAATTCTGGGACAAACTTAAGCCATCTATGCAGCTTCAAAAGCAAGGCTGAATGCTAATCAATGCCAAATATGGCATGGTTGGCATGTAATGTGTTGAAAATTTCTATATGCTAATTCTGTCCTCACTACTAATTTTGCTAATTCTGGTAATATCGCCTAAAATATCTGGCCCAGCTTATCTGTCTGAACGTATCTCCCTCTATGAACCATCTCAGAGGTTAAGATCTTCTGAGGAGGCCCTGCTCTCGGTCCCACCTCCTTTGCAGGCTGGTGAGGACGAGGGACGGGGCCTTCTCAGTGGTGGCCCCTCGGCTATGACACTCCCTCCCCAGAGAAATTAGATCACCTCCCTCCCTCCTAATCTTCAGAAAAAAACTGAAGACATGGCTATAGGACCAAGCCTTTAGATAGCAATGCAGTGCAATAAGAGAAGACAGAATATCTGAAACTATGACAGGAACAGCTCCTTGATTAAGATATCAGATTACATGGTTTTTGCTAATAATTGTTTTTTATCTTTTTATGCTTTTTAATCTTATGTTTTAATGTATCTGTTATTTTTACTATATGCATGCTTAATTTTTTATGGCATCACATTGTTGCCTATTGTAGGGCCACTCTGAGTCCCCTTTGGGGGTGAGAAGGGTGGGATATAAATACTGTAAATAAATAAATAAATAAATCACTGTGCACATTTCTTGTATATAGCAAGATATCAAGGTCTAGTACAAATTGGGGATGAGCATTAAACATTCTAGAAAATTAATCTAAAAATATTCCTTGAGAGCTAGTAATGTTATTAGTTCAATGAAAAATAAAATATGATGCATCTTACCTGAAACATCCACTTTTGAATTGGAACAGGACAAGGGGAAATATGGTAAGCAGACACCAGTATGCCTTCAGTGATTACAAAAAGCTGCTGTGCTATCCCTGAACTACAGAAAGAACCATGATTAATCGATATTTTGGGTGTGTTTATATTTAACCTGTCCATTAACTTAGTAGCACAAAGATATCAAGCCTGACTATTAACTTGCTAGCACAAAGGTAACAACTATCAATTCCAGACAGTTAAAGCAAAGCTATGAAATACAGCTACACCTTCATCTGCAGTATTCATGGGAAGCATTCCTACAAGAGCAGGGGAATTGCTGACTTGTATAAAACAAATCGTACTGTCAGATTGCCCAACAAAAGACGTGAGTTACTGCCATGGGGCCAGGAGTCATTTTTTAGATTGACCAAGTGCTCAAAGATTGTACAGTTTTGTAGGTGCAATTTTTTAAAAGTTAAAACACAAATTGTTACATACAAATAAAAAAAATTAAAATTTGCTGGAAAGACTGAATCACAATTCCTTATTAAATTCATTTTTTTAAATCAACCCAGTCATTATTAAATAATCAAATCACCTTCTCACAAGAATGAATTATTCTTAAATTTGTACTTACACACCAATGCACCTTAGAGGTATTTATATTGATGAGATACTAGCAATCACATGGATTATTTGTATTAAATTAAAGTTCAAAAATTAACTAGGATATTGACTATAATCTATTTAGATCCTGTTGTATTGATTAGCACAGGTATCAAACATATGCCCCCGGGTGTTTGGGACTCTAACTCCCAGAAGCCCTAGCCAGCTTGTCCAATGGTCAAGAATTCTGGAAGCTGAAGTCCAATACAGTTGGAGGATGACAAGTTTGACACCCCTTTGGGGTGAGAAGGGCAGAATATAAATACTGTAAATAAATAATAAAATTGGGTTATTGAATATTTGAAGGTCTGATACCAGGTTTTGGTGCCCAGCCGAAGTATTAATTTAATTAATATATAGAGAAAGCACTGGAAAGCTGCAAGGGATGAAAAATCTACAAGCAGACCATCTACTCTACCTCTCTGTCCTAGGATACAAATAGGAACCTAGGACATTTCCAAGATGCAACTTGCTGGAGAAGTATGACAGGTATTTCTTTATAAATAAATAGTGAACTTTTCACTTAATAACTAAAATGAAGTTTAATCAGACACTAATCTACACACACACATATAAAATGTCCAACAGAAGATTCCCCGAGCATAAGGCAAAAACATACTAATATGTATTTTAAAATATTCAATAACTCACCAAACTATAAACAAGTACCATTTTGTAGTCAAAGGTTTTTATGGCTGGACTCACTGGGTTGCTGTAAGTTTTCCGGGCTGTATGGCCATGTTCCAGAAGGTGGACTATTACTTGGATTTGCAGACTTAAGCTTGGTCGTATCAATATTTTAAGGGATAATATTTTATCCCTTATATGTAATCTATTTTAATGTAGTTTATACTGTTGTTGACTTGTTTGATGTTAATTGTTATACTGTGATTATTTCTTTGTCGGCATCTAATGACTGCCAGTTGTAAGCCGCCCTGAGTCCCTCCTCGGGGGTTGAGAAGGACAGGATACAAATGCTCTAAATAAATAAATAAATAAATAATTCTCTTCTGACTTTTGCCCTCATCTATGCCATACATCCTCAGAGGTTGAGGGGTCTGTTGGAAACTAGGCAACCTCTGAGGATGCTTGCCATAGATGTAGGCAAAACGTTAGGAGAGAATGCTTCTGAAACATGGCTATACAATCCGGAAAACTCACAGCAACCCAAATACCATTTTGCTATCATATTTTAAAAACAGAGAAGCCCATGTTAATCAACGCTTACCTAAACATGTATTTTTCAATAGGATTTTGGGGATGAAATCCAAAGTTCCTCAGATCAAGATTATGTTGACTGAAGATTTTCCCAGCTTGTGCTACTTGGAATATATTTTCTCCTGGATGTTGATCAGGAATACCATCAATGATTGAATATTTATCTAAAATCTCCCTGTAACACATAATTACATCTCTAAGTATTTAGTCCTTATTGAGAAATACCAAACCCGGTGGCGCAGTGGGTTAAACCCCTGTGCCAACAGGACTGAAGACTGACAGGTCGCAGGTTCGAATCTGGCGAGAGCGTGGATGAGCTCCCTCTATCAGCTCCAGCTCCTCATGCGGGGACATGACAGAAACCTCCCACAAGGATGATAAAACATCCAGGCATCCCCTGGGCAACGTCCTTGCAGACAGCCAATTCTCTCACACCAGAAGCAACTTGCAGTTTCTCAAGTTGCTCCTGACATGACAAAAAAACATAAACATACCTTGATTTAGCCATTTTATGTAAGGGACACCATTTCATTTACACCACTGTATATAACTGGACTTAAGAATCCAAAAGGGGTTCTGGAACCAAATCCCAGCAGATATCATGGGCCCACTGTAACTACTAACAGAAAAACCAAATGCCACTCAGAAAGTCCTTTGAGGAATTTAAGAGGGATATGATTTATCTTAACTAATTATTACTGTAAAATTTACAACAAAAAAAAAGGGAGAATATGATTTTTGCAAGAAATTCCTTAGAAGCAACCATCCAGCATGGCTGAAGGAATTACATTAAGTTGTGTGCCAGAAAAAAGGCATTTAGAAGTGATCAGGTTTTCAAGATAGTTTGCACATGATAAAATTGAGGCATAGGTAGTAGTGATAGACAATATTTTTAAAGCCTCTAAGCAAGAATTAATTTTGTCTTTTAAAAAAATCTTGGGTATAAAATAAGTTATCAGAGAAACCTGTTCTCTACTATTTATATCTGACAGTTTTAGACTACTAGCTAATGTATTTGTTTTGTGGAAGAAAAAGTAAACAACTGATTCAGGTCTCACTTAAATAAGTTTTTGTCAATATCGAAGTATCCAGCATCAAGCAGTACATTGTACAGCTTGCTGCCTGGGAATGGTAGGAGTTGTGGTTTAATGCACATCGAGATTGACAAGTTGAGGATATCTGAATTGGATGATGACCTGTGCACATTTTGGCAACTCAAGTTTATATATTCTTTCAATGTGTCCCAGCACCTGACTAGAATCTCCTGTACTTTAAAGATTAAGTACCACTCCAAGACGAAACAAAAGACTATATGGAAGGCAAAGAATCACAACAGTGTGGGTTGACTGAAATTTATCAACCACAGGAATAATATTCCAGGCTCTATCATATATGGATTGTGCCTGACAATGTTCCTGTGCACCTGACCCCTTTCATGTAAACAGCTTGTTCAAAAGTACTATTAAAAAGTTAGCAAAATGGAAGAGTTGCCACATGAGAAAGCAGAGACAGTAAACATGAGAATGGACCTGTGTTTAGCAAGCAATTCATCATCATAAGTTTGTTCTTCAAGTGGGTAGTTTTTTTCAGTGTTCCCTTTGGCTTGCTGTAGCTGTCGTTCTAGCTCTTCTACCCTGCAATGGAAATAAAGGTGCTTAAAAAGAGTTAGCCTGTGTTATAATAAAATAGTTGAACATAGTTTTGCTTTTCTTACATTTTTCCCATTACAACGAGTCCAGTGCGATATTTCTGTTTCCAATCTGAGAAGGCATCTAGACAACATCACTACTGACAAGCAGTATTCTCTTTTACAAGATTATTTCAAAGAAGAATCAATAAGAGCATAAGCATTCTATAGATGAACACTCCAATACAATACTCTAGGTGTCTGGTGGTGGTAGTCATGCAATCTTCCAACTTTCTGGAATTGAATGCAATTAACCAAAAACAGTTTTGTTTTTAAGCAATCTGTACACCTTCAACCTTATTTGAAAGTGCAGCATAACCATATCTGATGCTATTCTTGATTTTTATAATACAGACAGGCAGCAAAAAAAACTTTAGAGCTCCCTCTTATGTAATGTAGGTGAAATATGGAACCCTTGCAACTTAGAAAAGAGCAAATTGAATGCAGGTATATCTCACTTAACAAAGCTTCTGACAATGAACCCATTTTTATGTAGGTTTATGTCTGGCCTCCACTTTCTCCAATCTTCTTAATAGGTGGAGACATATTTTTAAGTGACATCTGCACTGCAGGGATGGTAAAGGGGTACTGGAGAAACATACTGTCAATGTTAGGTTGCAGCAATATGTCTGCACAAAACAATGCAACAAAGCCTTCTGTCTTGGTAGTAGCATGCAGGGGAGTACATGCAACCATAATTCCTTCTCAGGTTGCTCACAGAGAGCTTTTTCTCCTTTTTATCTACAACCACTCTGCCTATTCTTGATGTAAGTTTGCAGATGACACGAAATTGGGAGGGACAGCTAATACTCCAAAAGACAGGAGCAGAATTCAAAAGAATTTTAACAGATTAGAGAGATGGGCCAAAACCAATAAAATGAAGTTCAACAGAGACAAATGCAAGATACTCCACTTAGGCAGAAAAAATGAAATGCAAAGATACAGA